TAGAGAAAAACCTGATACTGAAGGACAGGTGGGACTATGTAGCGGACTTCTGCCCGCCACGCCTTCATTTGTGTTGCTGAAGTCGACCTAACCTGTCACGGCTTCGCTCGCTTCCGTAAGTCTAGAATCTTAGTCTAAGTAAATATACAAAGATAATTAGCTGTGAATACTGATTTTTATTAATTACGCATGTATAGTTGCGGATATTGAGATGGATACACAGTAATTTGGCTGCTGCAGCACCATGCATCCTTAATCATGTGACTACATCGTGACAATTCACGTAGTCTCCTGTCATTTTCATCTGCAGCCTCTTCACATATGATGATTACTTTGTTACAATCATTTTTGCACACGTTCCCTGACGTTCAACCGTCTATTTTGAGCCGCACCAAGTTAGCAACAGCTTACTTCGCCTGACGTCTGTCGCCCCTGCCTGACGTCTGTCGCCCTTGCCTGACGTCTGTCGCCCTTGCCTGACGTCTGTCGCCTCTGTCTGACGTCTGTCGCCCCTGCCTGACGTCTGTCGCCCCTGCCTGACGTCTGTCGCCCTTGCCTGACGTCTGTCGTCCTTGCCTGACGTCTGTCGCCCATGCCTGACGTCTGTTGCCCATGCCTGACGTCTGTCGCCCATGCCTGACGTATGTATATTGTATATTCACACAGACTAAGACTCTAGACCTACCGAAACGAGCGAAGGAAGCAGTGACAGGTTAGGCCGAGTTTACCAACACAAATGAAGGCTTGACGGGCAGAAGTCGACTACGCTGCTGTATGTGGTCACGCCACGAGAGCATTGGTTGCATGGTTTTAGACACGTTGCGGGTCCCATGGGCCCATCTCAGACTAGAGTTGCCGAGTCCCATGGGCCCATTTCATGCTAGGGTTGCGGGGTCCCATGGGCCCACCTCATGCTAGGGTTGCGGGGTCCCATGGGCCCACCTCATGCTAGGGTTACGGGGTCCCATGGGCCCACCTCATGCTAGGGTTGCGGGTCCCATGGATCCACCGCATGCTAGGGTTGCGGGGTCCATGGATCCACCTCATGCTAGGGTTGCGGGTCCCATGGGTCCACCTCATGCTAGGGTTGCGGGTCCCATGGATCCACCTCATGCTAGGGTTGCGGGTCCCATGGATCCACCGCATGCTAGGGTTGCGGGTCCCATGGATCCACCTCATGCTAGGGTTACGGAGTCCCATGAGCCCACGTCAGGCTCGGGTTACGAAATACGTTCCGGTAGACCCGGTAATGAATAATAAACGAAGTTCGGCACCTTTTACGCGTATTTTTGGTTTTATTCGTATAATCATAATTTTTTGTTATTCGATGTCTACCTTTTTTGCTGTGGTCATCATTAAGTAAGATATCAGTGTGATAACACGCGCTGCATACGATGATGGTGAGGTCTCAAGCGTTATGGTGCACGCTGAATGCGACAATGGTGAACCTACTACTTCGCTTTCCGTATGATTGTGTGGTGCTTGTCATTGTCAGTGTGATGATGTCGGGTTCATTTAATAATTCAAAAGTCATCAAATTTATGCAAGATGAATGAGACAAGCAGGTAGCATCTCGCACCTTATCGAAAGTCGGCAGGTAAACAGAAATGTCATCGCCGTCATTGTAGCTTGACGATTTTATGAGGTATTTTTATCCTGGCGGCTATTGAACTGTTGACGACTTTATGAAGCTGTTCCCAGAATAAACATCGTTCGTGGTAGCTACTGAACGATTAACAACTTTATGAATCTGTTCCCAGAATAAACATCGTTCGTGGTAGCTAATGAACGATTATCAACTTTATGAATCTGTTCCCAGAATAAACATCGTTCGTGACGATTATCAACTTTATGAATCTGTTCCCAGAATAAACATCGTTCGTGGTAGCTACTGAACGATTAACAACTTTATGAATCTGTTCCCAGAATAACCGTCGCTCGTGGTATATACTGAACGATTAACAACTTTATGAATCTGTTCCTAGAATAACCGTCGTTCGTGGTTGCTACTGAACGATTAACAACTTTATGAATCTGTTCCCAGAATGACCGTCGCTCGTGCTAGCTACTAAACGGTTAACAACTTTATGAAGCTGTTCCCAAAATAACCGTAATTCGTGGCAACTACTGAACGGTTAACAACTTTATGAAGCTGTTCCCAGAATAACCGTCGCTCGTGGTAGCTACTGAACTGTTGATGACAGTTTCGGCATTAGCTGCGTTGATTCTAGATAATTCCACCTCCGTCTCCAGCTTCTTCACCTCACGTTCATCGACTTCCCGTTGCAGGTCTTCAGCAGCTTTCCTCTCCTCTCTCTCCCTTTCTTCGCCAAGTCTCCTTTATTCTTTACCTTTCAACACATACTTTCGCAATTTTTCCCCAATCTAACCCAAATCTGTCCCATCATTAATAAACTGGGAATCCATGGTCAATGAAATTTATTTAATCGTCTGTTAAATTTGAAGTGAAACTCGATGACTGAACGCAAAATTTGACAATCTATAAATCCCGGACGAGCCTCCATATGTGATGAGGCCGGGTACAGTTATTAATTCAAAAGTCAAAAAATTTATTCAAGATAACCCCAGCTTCTTAAAATCTTAAACTTGACAAAAATTGAAGCACTACAGAGAGGAGGGGGACTTCGCTCTGTTCTGCCGAGATAAATATATGACACAATAAACACACGCATAAAAATGACCACTACATGAAGGTAATACAATAAAGCAAAATACAATAATCCATATAGACACTAATTAAAGAACACGGGTCGCTTGCCGAAGACCACCACTGCCCTGGATGTAATGGACCATCATGATTCCTGCCTTCCGGATCGTAGCCTTCAACACTTCTGGACAATCATATCTAGGCAGTGAGTCAAACCAGCCCTCGGTCGAACGGCCACTCATCGAAGGTCGATAAATTTTGGAACAGAACTATGCTATCTGAAACCTAACCTCAGATGCGGTAAACGTAAAATTACGTAATTTAACGATGCCCGGAAGTCAGATTCGATCCGCGGTCTGGTGGTGCACGGCAGGTTTTATGCAAGGCCGGAGGAGGACAAAACTCGAGTGGTTCACGGCTGATTGGTGGATGGGTGGAGAGATCCAAGGCGTTACATTTAGTGCTTATTGGCGCACAAAATTGGTGGTGCACGGCTGCGATCCCTTACCAGAGACAAAGAGCTTTAACTTGACTGGCTAGGCCTTATTATTCCGCGCAGTAGTGTTGATAACATTCTTACAGTCTGCTAGTGAACTAATTTTTCGAAAGTGATTAACATAAGGTAAAACAAATTCTTCAGGTAATTTAGATGATTAATTTATTAATTAGTTACTATATTATTTTAAATTGTTTTACCTTTGCGTGAGTTAGTAACTAAATTTGTAAGTATACGTGAGTTTACTTGATTCGGTAATTAGTAGTTAATGATCCCTAGCAACGCATTTTTTTATCTATTTGGTTTATATGAAAAATTATTATTCAGGGAATGTAGAAAGATGATGCAATCATGCAGGGAGTAATAGTTTAGTTTTGATGATGCAAACATTGCTCGGTAAATACTTAAGTCATAAAAGTAATGTACCGCTTACATTTTATATAAGGAAATGCTTGGCGTGCGTGGAGGTCAGTTGCAGTGGTGGTCCGGGCGGGTGCGGTAACGGCGTGTCACGGCCGTCCTGCTTGCACACAAATGATTATGTAACCGTATGATGTACACTATTCACATAGACCATGTCAGACTATTCATAGATATTGTAAATCCAAACATATATATCTCAAAAATTACTTAGACCTTGCCAGTAAATACGTAGACCTAGTCGATAACTACATAGACCTTGTTAATTAAACCATACATAGAGCTATCAATGCACACGGAGACCTAATCTATAAATACATAAACCATGTCTATAATTAGTTAGACCTTTTGTCAATAAATCTTAGACCAAGTCAACAATTAAACAGACCATATATGCCAATACATACACACGCCTCGTTATCATATACATAGACCGTGCCCAACCATACTTAGACCGGCCAATGCATACTTTGACCTGTCAATACATACCTGCATTGAATGTCAATAAAATTAAATATAGGCAAAAATAATTCCATAGTAAATCATTTAGAAGGCGTTGATGAATATGATAAGGCAAATATTACCATATACTATCTTATTTAAAAAAGTCAACGTATTATCTTTGGCAAATGTTACCCTATTTTATATCATTTATTAATAGTCAGAAACCAAACTCAGGAATGGTCAAGCTGAAAAATTCAGCAAAAATGATGAAGAAATTTCAATTGTTGAACAGATCAATCTGCTGCATGAATGTATTCAATTTAAATACATTCATTATTAGAATTATTACTGACCAATTCGTAAGTATTTTATTTATTTGGTATTTATACAGTTTTTTTCATTTCTTTACATATGAAATTTGATTTCGTGTGCGGTGTAAATTTAAATTTTTCAACATTCAAAGGCGAGTTGAAGATACTTCTCATTTGCTTTGGATGAAAAATTGTCAATAAAATATTTAAAATATTTACTGAAAAAATTAGTTCTTACGTTAAAGTGCATGCCTTCTGCAGAGCATAAGCGCCTCATTGCTGCTAGGCATTCAATTATATTCCATGACATATTCTTTAATTAATATGGAGTACTATGTTTAGTAATTGATGACATTACAATAAAAATAACCATTTGTGATTGAAGGCATTTATTCATTCAGCAAATCATTCATTGCTCATTCGCATTCATTGCTTTTCCAGGTTAGGTTGGTGAATCATTACTTTGAGTATTTAACTAGGATTTGTTGTCACTATTCATGTGAAGGTAGTTATCTATACTTTTTCTCTTTTTTACAGTGAATGTAATTATCGTAAATTTGTTGTCACTGTTCCAGTGAAGGTAGTTATCTATACTTTTTCTCTTTTTTACAGTGAATGTAATTATCGTAAATTTGTTGTCACTGTTCCAGTGAAGGTAGTTATCTATACTTTTTTCTCTTTTTTTACAGTGAAGGTAATTATCATAAATTTGTTTTCACTATCTCCGACTGATACCGCCATATTGATAGCAATTTGTTTGTGGAAAAAGTGAATTCATGAATTTGTGCATAGAAATAGAAAATTCTTTTCCCTGTTAATTCAAATTAATTTTCGATTAAAATTGGAACGAAAACTTTGTTAGAAAATTATCTAAATTTGAAATTGAATTATAAACATAAAAAACAAAACCAGCAGTATAAATTTTGAAATAAAACTTGCTTCTTTAAAATTTCGCGAACAATATTCAGCACAGAAATCCTCGTTTGAAAAAATAAACAACAACAATAACAAATCAAGAGCAACAACAATAAAGGAAGTTAAAGACACGACTCTGTCAAGGGACTTCGCGCCCTATGGAGTCGCTGCTGAAGGCCTGTACTCCTTCGTCAACGAGTCTCCTCTCTGGGGCGGCCATTGAGTCACAGGAAGGTGAGTCGTCCTCTCCACAACCCTCTCAGAAAACTAAGCTAGTTTTTATCCAAATAAATATGCATTATTTGCCATTGTGTGGTTCATCTTGACACAGTTTGGCCCGGCAAAAGGATACATCAATACTATGTGCAGGAAATGTGTTATTATTTGAACAACATGACTCATTCTTTTTAGCGCATTTTCTCATTTATGGAAAAAATGCACTATTGTGCTCGCAATGTCCGTCTGTCTATCTGTCCGTCTGTCTGTCCGTCTGTCTGTCCGTGACCTCAAGTTTTCGTCGACGAGAAAATGCGCTCTCTGTCACTCACTGCAGTGAGTACTGAGTTATATTTTTTCTGAATATCAGCTTAGAGTGCAGTAAATTCCACCTATAGTGACCACCAAAGAACCTTGATATTTTGGTCCTAATATCCTGCGTGTCTGCTGAAAATTGAATTATATATTGAGAAGACTGAAATTTTATAATATGTATGTAAATATATTTATATATTTGTTACCACTTTATATTGCACCATAACTTAAAATATTATATTTATATTAATATTAATATATATGCACCATAACTTAACACGTTTGGTATAAAGTGTCTGATTTCTTGGTTGAATCAACGTTTCAACGTTGTTTCAATTTCATTTGCCTGGAAGGCGTGTCTGAATTACCGAACATGACTAAGAAAACAAAACTGTTTTTAATTTTAATTTTAGTCAAACACACACGATTTATTGAGCAATAAAGGTTTTAATTTCTTATGATTTGGAACAAATAACCGTTATTTGCAATTGAACTGCTGAGCGCTTAATTTTTTTTAAGTTTTCACAATTCTCATGAACTTAACAAATGTTCTGCCTTCACTAATAATGAGTTGAAAGAATTGGTTAATATATATGTGAGTAAAGTTATTATTATTAAACCGATTCATTTTGAGAAAACGACAGATTATTATTTTTGTGTTGTGTAGATCGAAGTATATAATTTTACTAATAATAAATGATGAGATTATTGAACCCAATAGTGAGATACTGCGTTTCAATAGCCGTAAGGTAAAGCAGCTGAACGTAAAATGCACGCTGCACAGTAGCTCCTTAGGAAGTGCATAGTAAATACACAGGATTTATACAGGAACTGTACAGGAACTGTACAGGAACTGTACAGGAACTGTACAGGAACTGTACAGGAACTGTACAGGAACTGTACAGGAACTGTATAGGAACTGTACAGGAACTGTACAGTAACTGTACAGGATCTGTACAGGAACTGTACAGGAACTGTACAGGAACTGTACAGGAACTGTACAGGAACTGTACACTGTACAGGAACTGTACAGGAACTGTACACTGTACAGGAACTGTACAGGGACTGTACAGGAACTGTACAAGAACTGTACAGGAACTGTACACTGTACAGGAACTGTACACTGTACAGGAACTGTACAGGAACTGTACAGGAACTGCATGGCCTTGAGCCAAGGCTACTGCGAGCCAGAGCTAGGCGACCTCAGCGGAGGAAGTTGATTCTTAGGCATTTAATAAATTCAATTATAGAAATGAATCTTTGGTCCAAAACCCCAATAGAAGAAATTAATCTTAGGTCCAAGACCAAAATTACAGAAGTGAAGATTCGTCCAACGACCCCTACAAATTTAGTCAAAGACCCTATTTCATAAAAAAATCTCTGGTCTAAGACTCTAAAATTCAGAAATTCATTTTTAGTCCAATACCCGAAAAATCATAAATGAATCATTGCTCCAAAACCCCAATTATAGAAACAAATCTTGGGTCCGGAATTCCAAAATGCTTAAATTAATTTTTCGTACAAGACTCCAAAATTCATTAATGAATCTTTCGTCCTAGACCCCTATTACTGAAATGAGTCTTTGGTCTAGATCCAAATTATATGTCCCAATCTTCCATAAATTAATCTTAACGCATAAATGAATCTGTAAAATGTATAATATCATCGAATTCTAAAAATTAATCGTTAGAAACTTGATAAATAAAGTCAAATCCTTACATATGCCTAAGGAGCTTCCAGGCTGCGCTAAAATTTAACGCCTCCTTCATTGTATGGGAATTCTAATTACTCACGTACGGTACGACGTATGACCTTGCAGGTGCATGTGTGTAACATGTATACGCTAGTGAAAGGAAGAGCGTGTGACGTAACACGCTCTTCGCCGGGTCATTGTTATACAGAATCACACACACGAGCCTGCCGTCATTCTTATACAGACACACACATGAGCTTGTCGTCATTGTTATACAGACACACACATGAGCTTGTCGTCATTGTTACACCGACTCACACAACTTCCTCTGTTATTTCTCGTTGTGTTGTTTCATTAGCGGAATTTCGCTTGAAAGAGAATGAGAGTCTCTAAGAAACTGCAGGTCTAAAGCTTGCATTGTTCTCTGCAGTGAAGGAAACGTCGCGGTTACTTTGTTCTCTTTCGTCATATTAAAGGAAGTTGCTAAACCTGAACGTTCTTTGTAGGCCTAAGGCGGGTCACGATGACTCACGTTTCCTATCATAAGTGAGAGTTTTGCTTCACTTGCACAACACCAACTTATGCGCAACTTATTTCTGAAGTTGCGAAACTTCTTTATACTCGAAACTTTTTTTTGCACGTTCATAACTTCAACTTGCACAACTTCAACTGGCACAATTTCAACTGGCACAACTCCAACTTGCACAACTCCAACTTGAACAACTTCAACTTGCACAACTTCAACTGGCACAACTTCAACTGACACAACTCCAACTGGCACAACTTCAACTGGCACAACTTCAACTGGCACAACTTCAACTGGCATAACTTCAACTGACAGAACTTCAACTGGCACAACTTCAACTGGCACTACTTCAACTGACAGAACTTCAACTGGCACAACTTCAACTGGCACAAATTCAACTGGCACAACTTCATCAACAAGCCGGTATCACAATAATCACCGAAGTCAACAAGCCGGTATCACAATAATCATCGAAATCAACTGTTTTTTTTTTTTGCAGTACAAATGAGTCCTTAGTTGTGTTGGCATGCCTTAGTTTTATATGTGTATAGTCTATAGTGTATACTGTACATCGTTCTCACCGCTATCACGCAATTTCGCCTCCAAATACGCAGTTCAGTTGATACATGATGATTAGCCTTGAAACCGGTCCCAGAGGTTAAGAGTCCGGTGGTGGGGCGGGGAATGAGGGGAGGAGGGAAAAAGGGGGAGGGTTGAGGAATGCCGAGAACGTATCCCGCAGCGCATTGGGTCGTATCACTGAACCGTACTATTGAACCGTATTAATGAACAGTACGTATTACTGAACCGTATTACAAAACCGTATTACTAAATCGTATTGTTGAACTATATTACTGAACCGTATTAATAAACCGTATTGCTGAATTATATTACTGAGCCGTATTACTGAACCGTATTACAGAACCGTATTACTGAATCGTATTACGGAACCGTATTACTGGGCCGAATTACTCTACTGTAATAATGGACCGTATTACTGGCCCGTAGCATTGAGCGGTATTACTGGGCCGTATTACTATAACCCGTAGCACGGAACCGTATTACTGGATCAGCTGAAATCCAGCGTTTGCTGGCTGCCAGCAGCGGTAGCATCAGGCAGGCCAGATTTTCTTCGTTCTTTTTGTTTTTGCGGTCATGAAAAAACCTCCGCTGGGTCACTTGTGCCAGTAGGCGCTGTCAGCGGGGCAGCTGATGGCGCTGTCAGCGGGGCAGCTGATGGTGCTGTCAGCGGGGCAGCTGAGGGCGCTGTCAGCGGGGCAGCTGAGATGGTGCTGTCAGCGGGGCAGCTGAGGGCGCTGTCAGCGGGGCAGCTGATGGCGCTGTCAGCGGGGCAGCTGATGGTGCTGTCAGCGGGGCAGCGGAGGGCGCTGTCAGCAAGGGCTTACAACGCAGTCTCTCCAATAAAATTTATTCCTTCCTCCCCTCGCCGCCAACTCTCTATATTTGCAACTATCTTTCCTTCTTACACTTCTTCTTACTCCCGAGGGAAGAATGAGCCCCTGAGGGAAGAACAAACCCCCGAGGGAATTACGAACCCCGAAGGTAACAACGAACCCCCGAACGTAAGAACGAACCCCCGAGGGAAGAACGAGCCCCTGAGGGAAGAACGAAACACCGAGGGTAGAACGAACCCCTGAGGGAATTACGAACCCCTGAGAAAAGAACAAACACTTATGGGAAGAACGAACCTCTGAGGAAAGAACGAACACTTGTGGGAAGAGCGAACCTCTGATGGAAATAATGGAAGTGGTATAGAAAAGAGAGTGCAATCAACATGACTGGTCGAAATTACATGTAAATTGGAAGCGAAGTTCGAGCGAAGAGGCTGAAAGTTGAGCGGCTGGGCGGTTGAAGGGGCTAAGTGGCTGGGCGGCTGAATTACTGAGGGTCTATGTGGCTGCTCGGCTGAGTGGCTGGAGGGCTAAGTGGCTGGGCGGCTGCTTAAGGTCAAATGCCAGCCTCTCGCCAGTGAAAGTGGTGGCTGAATACTCTGCCTCGGCTCTTACTCAGCTGTCTCAACTGCAAGTCTCTGTCTCGGCTGCACTTCTCTGTCCCGATTGTCTCGGCTGCACGGCTCTGTCTCGGCTGCAAGTCTCTGTCCCTAATGTCTCAATTGTCCCGAGACTTCCATTGAAACTTTGAGCGTTGAATCCATTGAGAATGGTTGAATCTTCCATTGAGACTTTGGGGTTGAAACGTCTACTCGGGTCACGTCCGCCGCCACTAAAGATGGACAATCGATGCACACTAATGCCTAACTTACGACATCCCTGATATTTAGACGAGCACCAAGGACGTACATCCATGATAAGCACCCCTGATACGCATCCCTGATATGCATCCCTGATACGCATCCCTGATACGCATCCCTGATACACATCCCTGATACGCATCCCAGTTACGCATCCCTGTAACGTATCCCTGATACCTACTTTCACTCTCGCCACGCTTCCTGATTAAATT